ATTAAAATACTAAAAGCGTATAATACAGTTTGAAACTAATGTTTTACCCGAATTTATATTCCTCTAAACTTTCCACCTTTCGTCTCCTCTGTTTCGAGTCGTCTCTTCTCCACTGATTACTTCGGTGAAATATGTGTTCACGAGCATTCTTTACTTACGGGTTTAAGCAATCTCCTTGTTTTTACTGCACGACCCACATCTGCTACCTGGGCATGTTTGTTTGTTTTATTTTATTTTTTTGACACCATTTTTTTCTGTTTCTTCTAGGTGGGTTTGCTTGATCAGGTTGATTACATTTCAGAATCATTTTCTTGTAATTTCTTGTCACGTTGTATAATCGTACTATAAACTTGGGCAGTGAACTTCTGCCAAGAAATGCACTGCACTTTTCTTGTATGGTTGTTCTTCATTTTTAAAAATTACGCGGCCTGCTTTTAATGATATTTGAAAAAAGATTTAATTTTCTTGCAACGTTTGTATTTTCAGGAGAAACATTTACCATGATCTTTGGATATATCTGCTAAAGTTGCAATATTTTTGCTGCAAATTGAATCTGGGGACTGGTTAATTCCAGCAGGGGTTTGGAATCACGTTGAGGAAAAACCCCTTTTTGAGCATTTGGGCAGTGATTTGATTGATTTCCAGTTCCGAGGTGAAAATGATTGCGAGAAAAAGCATGGGGCGTGCTTCGTCCTTTCTGTTGGTGTTTCTGGCTTTCGGCTCCTTCTTTGCAATTTATAATCTATTAACTTTGGTGATGCCCATGACCCGTAGAAATTTAACTGGGGAGCTAAATGATCCGTTTATTAGTAGGTCGATTGAGGGAGGTGGACCGAAATTCCATGTGGCGTTAACGGCCACAGATACTCCTTACTTGAAATGGCAATGCCGGATTATGTATTATTGGTACAAGAAAATGCGGGATTTACCCGGTTCAGATATGGGAGGCTTTACTCGGATTTTGCATTCGGGAAATTCTGATAATTTAATGGACGAGATTCCAACTGTCATTGTGGATCCTCTTCCAGGCGGGCTTGATCGGGTGAGCAGTGACTCACCATCTTTTAGTTTTTCGGTTTTGAATATGAAGGATTTGAAACTTGACTGAAATAAAATGTTCCTCGACTTTGGTGCAAGTGGAATTTTGTTTTCATAATGTGTTGAAAATCCTACAAATTGAAAGTATGGATTACCAGATTTTTTATCAACACACGAAAGTTTAATCTTTCTGTCTGAGATGCTGATTGAAGAAAAACAAATTTGAGCCTGAAGAAAATTTGCATGTGAAAAAAATGTATAACTAATCTAATAGATGGAAATAAAGTAGAGATTTTTTATCCTTCTATATTGCAAAGGTGCAGGCTTATCTTGCCTGAGACTTATCTCAGAAAGCTTTAGGAAGGTAATAATGATGTTGATCGAACATCTATGATATAGTGGTGTTAAGTTGACTGGCTATGTCTTGTTTGTTGGGAAATAGTCAAGTGCTTGTCCAGTTGATGTGCACTCCGTGTGAGTCATATGGAACTTGTGGCTCTCACTACCGCATTAAGTGTATCCTAATAATGTCCTTGGTTTCAAATGAATGAATTAATGGGTTCAACATTCTGAAACATAAAAAATAGATAAATAAATAAAATAAATAGAACGATGTTCTTACTTCTTATAGTAAATGATGAATGAGCCAGACAAAGAAACAAACTTGAATAGATGATCTTTTCCTATCAAGAGACCCTGTATACCAGTTTTATGTATTTAGATTTTCATATTTTTTTTTTTTGCTATGAGTGTTTTTATGCTTCCCACAACATTATTGTTTGCCCGCTGCTTCTTATGCTCCATTTTAGTTTAACTTATTTACTAGTTTTGTGTTTTTTAAATATTTCTGCAGGGTTACATTGTTTTAAACAGACCTTGGGCTTTCGTGCAGTGGCTGGACAAAGCCACCATCGAGGAAGAGTGTGTTCTCCTTCTCGGAACTCGAAACAATCTTTCTCTCTTTATGGTATGATCTAAACTAATCTTCTTTTGGTCTCACTAATTCTGATGCAGATACATTCTAATGGCGGAACCTGATCATATATTCGTTAACCCGTTGCCAAATTTGGCTCGTGGAGATCACCCGGCCGCATACCCCTTTCTATATATAGAACCAAATGCGTATGAGGAAATTGTTAGAAAATATTATCCTGAAGAAAGAGGCCCGGTGACAAATGTCGATCCAATTGGCAATTCTCCAGTAATTATCAAGAAGGTACATGTTTTCATTTCCAATGATTTTCTTGATGCTTCAAGAATATTGGTGGCACATTTTAATTAGTACTTGATTTGCCGTACATTCTGCAAAATCAATTAGAAACTTGACAAATTTTCAGCGCAATACTTACTGCAGTTTCATTACGCTTGTCCCTTTGTTTCCTCATCTTTGTTCACATTTTCTTGTGGTATAATTTTTCATGGTACAGTCGATTTTTGAGAAAATTGCACCCACATGGATGAGCGTCTGCTTGCGGATGAAAGATGATCTCGAGACTGATAAGGCTTTTGGTTGGGTCCTAGAAATGTATGTGGGTTACTAAACAATGTAAACTGATTATTTTAAATATTTATTTTATAATTTCCTAAATAACTTTTTGTGCATGATAGGTATGGTTATGCAGTTGCATCTGCTTTGCATGGAGTGCGACATATTCTTCGTGCGGACTTCATGCTACAGGTCTGCTTGGTTTTTATTTGAGATATTTTTTATTTTTTTACTTATTAAGTCATCTTATCACCAATTTGAGAGTTAATCTTTGTTCTTTCAGCCACCATTTGATTCAGAAGTTGGGAAGAAGTTCATCATCCATTATACATATGGTTGTGACTACAACATGAAGGTAATACGAATTTCCACTTATTCGAATCGGAAATTTGAGCTAACCTCTTTCGTTTATCTTAAATTACTTGGATTTGGTGCACTTTCTTGCAATAGTGAATATGTAACTCTTTTGATTATCCTTTTTTCCTCAATAAAATTGCTGGTAACAGGGGGAATTAACCTACGGTAAAATTGGAGAATGGATATTTGACAAGAGATCATACATTAGTGGTCCGCCTCCTAAAAATATCTCACTACCTCCTTCAGGAGTACCTGAAAGTGTGGTATGTCTTCTCTTTTCTTTCGTTTTTTTCATATTGTATTCTTGAGCTATGGTACAAGGAATAATTAGTCTTTTGTACCACTCTACTCACTTCATCAACATTTACCAAATATTTTAATGTCTATAGATGTGTGAAGTTAAATTTCTCAGATGCAAACCAAATGAAGATTTTGCAATTGAGAGTTTTGTTCAGCTTGTATTTTAACAATGTCGCGACATTATAGTTATTTGGTTACGCTATGAAAAGTACAGACATCGTGGTTATGTGTGTTTTCTTGCATGGTCTGCCATCACAAATTCTCCTGTCGGACACACTCAGAATTTGTGAAATTATAAACACAACCCTTGAAGTGTGGAGTAATTACAAAAGAAATTTCAATTTATAGAAAACCTCTTGAGTCTGACTCACATTTTTCTACGTTCTTTAAGAGTATTGAAATATCACTTGTGAGTTGTCCTACATTGCTTTTACAGGAAAATTTGGCCTAGCTTATAAGCCTAGTGGTCTACTATTCCCATAACCAATTGGTTTCGAGATAGAAGCTCACTAAGGTGCATGTAGGCGCACCCTCTTATGGTGTGCTTCACGTGCATGGACAACATCTGTTTCTCCCGATTCTTACAAAAAGAATTCAGGCTCTCCTTCTACATTCATTGAAATATTATAGGCCCTTTACTTAAGAGCCTCTTTTATAATTTCGAAACTCGCTTGAGCTTTTATCTATTTATGTTTTAGTGAAAAAAGTAAGAATTAAGAAGAAACAAAGTTAAGCTACAATTATTTTTTTTAATGAGTTTGTTGTTGAATTCTGCAGGTACGGCTTGTGAAAGCTGTGAACGAGGCAACTGCAAATATTCCAGACTGGGAGACAACATAGGTGATATTGGCTTTGAGTTTATTATGCTCCATTTTTTATCATTTTTGCGAATTTGAGGATCTATTTTAGAACAAAACACTTACAAGAATGTGAAGTACATCAAAAAAAGATACACAATAGAAGAAGATACACAGAGAAGAAGATATGGGTTTTCTTTCTGTCATAGGTCGATCCTTTTCCGGGGCCCTCTTTCATTATGTCGTGCTGAATACATGCGTGTTTGTACTCTCGCTTGCTTAAAAAACTTGGAAACTTAACTCGTGCTCAACTAATGTTACATTATGCAACCGATTTCCATATTTAAGGTGTTGCTTTTAGGTTATACTAGGAAGATGCACGTGCTACGCACGTGATGTTATTTTTTTTTCATTAAAATTATTTTTACTATTATACCTATAGTATAATTTAATTATCTTTCCATTATTTTATGATAAACAATAATAAATGAACTGAATAATGAAATATAATATTTAATATTATTAACTGAAAGCTATGGTAAATAATATTAAATAAAAAAATAATGGTTTGAGTATCCAAAATGGAATACATATATATAGGAGACGGATCCAATGAGACCACTCCTTAAAATGAGTACGTGAGATTCAATCTTAGCCACTCATTTTGTCTAGATCAAAATCAATTAAAATATACATTAATTAAATAATAAAATAATTATTAGTTGACTCCAGCGTTGATCGTTGACTCTGGCGTTGACAGTTGACTTCCGGCGAAAATCGTTGACTTCTGTCGTTGACCGTTGACTCCGGCGTTGACCCGTTGCATTGAAATAAATAACCTAGCAACAAAAAACACTCAACCTTGAGTAGTGTAGTGGTTGCATTGCTTGTCTTGCTTCCATGAGGCACCAGGTTCAAATCCTATGGGTTGTTTTTTTAAAAAGAAAAAAACCTAGCAACAAAAGACAACTAACCTAACAGCAAGAAAAGAAATATCCTAGCAATAAAATACAACTAACCTAGCAGCATCAGACAACTAACCCATCAGACAACTAACCTAACAGCAAGAAAGCAATAAAATACAACTAACCTAGCAGCATCAGACAACTGTAACAGCAAGAAAGCAATAAAATACAACTAACCTAGCAGCATCAGACAACTAACCTAACAGCAAGAAAGCAATAACATACAACTAACTTAGCAGCATCAGACAACTAACCTAACAGCAAGAAAGCAATAAAATACAACTAACCTAGCAGCATTAAACAACTAACCTTGCAGCAATAAAATACAACTAACCTAGCAGCATCAGACAACTAACCTAACAACAAGAATAGCAACATCAGACAACTAACCTAGCAGTAAGAAAGAAATAACCTAGCAACAAAATACAACTAACCTAGCAGCACCAGACAACTAACCTAGCAACAGAACACAACTACCTAGCAACTACAGATAACTAACCTAGCAACTAATAGCAGCAAGAAAGAAATAACCTAGCAGCATCAGACAACTAATCTAGCAACAAAACACAACTAACCTAGCAGCTACAGATAACTAACCTAGCAACAAAAGACGAAAATGCTCTCCCTTCTCTCTAGCTTTCTCTCTCTAAAATTTTTTCCAACCATTTACGGCCTCAACCACCACCTCCCACCACCCTCAGCCACCAGCCCAGCCTAGCCGACCCACCGACCGCCGTCGCCGGTGGCCGCCCCGGCCCCGGGGCCACCAAAAATTCCTATCCTTTTCTCGTTTCCTCCCTCCCCCCCCTTTATTGTCCTCGATTTTTGTTTTCTCAGTTTAGTTTAATCATGAACCCATCGGATTTGGATTCTATCCTGGCAAACCCGGAATTCCGAGAAGCTCTCTCAGCTCTTCTCCGGAAAAACCAAACAGATAAATTGGAAAAATTGGAAAAGGATAAAAACTTTGAAGAAGATGGAATATGTGTATTAGCCGAGAAGAAATGTGCTGGGACTCTTGCTCCGATACTCTCGACGGCAAAAGTGACCTCGGTTGCTGCCGTCTCTGAACCGATCAAGTCAAGGCAATCAGCTTCACCGGAAGACGATAGCAGCTCCGCACCTCGCACCGTCCTTAGCAACCGAGCGTCGCCTCACCGGCTCGCGGAGGTCTCAGGCCAGAGCCAGCCGGTTCAATTTGGCTCCCTTCCTGCGGAGGTCCGTCAAGAACCTTCAGTGCCGACCGGAAAACTCCTCACTGCTCAATCTCGTTTGGATGAGGGCAGCGAATTTCTTAAGACAAACCCTCAACTGAATATGGACTCTTCTCTATGGGCCAATTCCCTTGCTACGGATGGGCTGCGGTTACCTAGGCCCAACTCAACTCCAAATCTTCACCAACTTGGGCCGTCCCATTCTCAGCCCACATCATATAATTCTCCTCATCTCATCAACCCAACTAATGACAACCCAACAAATACCAACCCATCTAATGCCAACCCAACCAATGTCAACCCCCAGCCCACCAGCTCTAAACCCACTCCCCACCCATTCACTTCCCAGGCCCAGCCCGTATCCTCACAGCATCTCCTCCAACCCGCCCCCTGCCATCAATTCACCACCCCCGACATGAACCAAACGACGGCCACCGCCCACCCCGGCGCCGGCGCCACTACCGGCGAGACGACCAGAATATTCCAGTCTACCGAAAATCAAGCGGGGCGGCCTTTCGAAAGGTATCCTCGGACCTCGACCCATTTCACCTCCTCCGACCAACCTTCTCGCCGGAGTAACCTCGCATGCCGCCGGAGAATCTGAACCGACCGTCTTGTATGTGCGGGAAGACGGTGTGGTTGGTGCGAACCCAAGCGCGACGGCCGCAACTCATTTTTCTGGACATCCACCAAACGGGACGTCACCGACGGGCCCACCAACGGCTAACCCCGCCACAGCCGGGTCTCTTCCGGGCTCCTCCATCGGCCCGCTCACCTTTCGGGAAGCTATTACGGGGAAGAAAAATGGCGACATGGGCGGCCCGCGACCGACGGCCAAGGATTTCGCCTTTGACTGGGGATACGAACATGCTTGCGGGACTATTATTCGCTCGGAGGGGAACAAAGTGAAAGCCCGATACACTGAAGCCGAATCTGTCGCTCTTTCAGGTAAGCTAGCTAACACCCTGGTCTTTAAGTTTTCATATGCTATCCCTGCCCCCCGAGATACCTCTGCTGGTTTAGGCAAGCTGGGTTTTAAGGGTAGGGTGTCGTCGAAGTGGTATAATTTCAACCACCTCCTAGTGTCTTTTCACCTTCCCGAGGACTATAACGAGGTTATTCTTAAGACCTCGATTCATCTATGTGGATGCCCTATTCAAGTATTATGTCGGGTTTAACCCGAAGACGGATACGCCGATTGTCCCCGTGTGTTGCCGTCTTCCCGGCCTCCCACCCCACCTTTACGATCGTGCTGCCATCACTACACTTGCTAAGTGTATTGGACAGCCGATTCGTATTGACGCCCCGACGGCCCTTCAGGCAAGGGCTAACGTGGCGCGTTTCTGCGTCGAGATAAATCTTAGAGCTGAGCCCGTCCATGAGATTGAGATTGAACAAGGCTCGGAGACCCTTATTCAGCAGGTGATCTATGAGAAGATCCCCGCTTTCTGCACCTTGTGCAGTCATGTGGGCCATATTGCGGCTGATTGCTACACGAGTGGCAATAAGCCACGGCCCACTCTTCCGCAGCGCCATCGCGCAGCTCAGCTAGGGCCCTCCAAAGGCAGGAGGGACCCCAAGGGAAAGGGCAAAAGCCCTCTCCGTGCGCCCGAGACCCCGAAGGGGTCTAAAGATAAGGGCAAGGCTGTGATCGACGCCACTGCCCAAACTGGAAAGGACGCTCATCCTAACCAGCCTAAGCAGTTGGCCATAGTTGGGCCAAAGCCCAAGTCCACGGGCTTTCTTCCCAGACAGACCCTGCAGTCGGCCTTCAAGGCCAACCACTCGTATTTTGCTATTCTCTTCCCACAGGCAGAGAACGAGGTCGTTCCTTCCACCAGTGGTCCACCAAGGATTACGGACCTCACCCTTCTTGACGACGACGACCTCCTCGTCGACGATATGGACCAGCCAGACGCATCGGCCACGGGCGAGTCCATCCACCTATCTGATGACGGTGCACGAGTCGCTGCTCCTTTGACCGTGCATGCATCTAGCTCGGACCGCTCTCTGGATTTGAGGGCCACTGCCGACCCCGCTCCCCCGAAAGGGGATGAGTCGGCCAGTATTCCCTCTGCAGAGATTAGGAGCACGGTTGAGTATATAGCCAGCCCCCACCCTCCCTCTGGCGGCGAGCACAGGACTACTCCGCCGGCTGGATCCTCCCTTTCTCCCATCCCCGAGCAGGCATGCGGTCTTAACCGCGCCCAGCATGACGTCTCGTGCGAAAGCTTCACATCTAGTGCCTTCGTGCACTATGACAGACAGGAGACAGCCCCAGAGATGGGGCAACCCGCTAGTGCCGCTCTTGGTCAGACTGCCCAGCCAGACGACACGCAGGCCACGAGCACCTACCGAGGCAGGCAGTCTACGAGGACTAGAACTACGCAGCGCACGACGCGACGGACTGTCTCCCCTGCTATTGGAGCCTTCTGCTACATTCATTCTTTAGGTGGCCCGACTCAGCCTTGCCATAGGCGGACTATGTCTAGTGGCTCTTGCGACCGTTGATATGTCCATCACATCCATTACTTAGAATGGCAGTGACATGGCTAATAGGGCTACTCTCTCTCACCTCCATTCTCTCATTCGTGACCACAGACTCGATTTTGTTGGCTTTATTGAGCCGATGATTCCCACCCCTTCTTTTGACTACTACTCGCGTCGCCTTGACTTTCACTCGGGCGTGGGTAATATTCCGCATAAGATCTGTTTCTTTCACTCACGTGATTACACTTGTCGGGTCCTCCGTGACACCGATCAGGTGCTTCACGTTGAGCTTTCCGCTGCCCACCTCCCGGAGCCCATCTTTCACACCTTGGTTTATGCCAAGTGTACTAGGGACGGGCGCTGTGATCTTTGGGACACCCTGCGTGAGATTGCCGAGAGTATGGAAGGATTGCCATGGATGGTTAGTGGCGATTTCAACATCTTTTTGCATCCCGATGAGCGTGTAGGTGGCCGTTCGGACCGCTCACGGAAGATGTGGGATTTTGCTCAGGCGGTGGCAGACTGTGAGTTAATTGACGCTGGATGTGATGGTGAGCCCTTCACGTGGGTGAGGGACGGACTCAAAGAGAGGTTAGACCGTGCCTTGGTTTCTGAGGCGTGGGCGAAGGTGTTTGCGGTTACGACCGTCACACACCTTACTCGATTCGGTTCTGACCATTCACCCCTTCTCATCCGGTGCCGATTTTCGAGCACCCCCCGCCGCTCTTCATTTAGGTTCCAGAACATGTGGGTTCGCCACCACTCCTTCCACGACACTGTCAGGGATTCCTGGCTTCAGCCGACTGGACTCTTCGGGATGCGCAATCTCGAGGCGAAGCTCGGCAGACTACGGCGTCGGTTGAGACAATGAAACTGGGATGTTTTTGAAAACCTTCATCAGCGCCTTGCTGCGGCTCAGAGTGCGCATGCGACGGCTGAGCGGGCCTATGACCTGGACCCCACTCCGGAGAATAGGACTGTCATGCACCGCTGCCACGCCGAGTACCAGCTCCGACTCCTTATGGAGGAGGACTTCTGGAAGCAGAAGGCGGCCGTTCGCTGGGTGGCCGAGGGCGAGCGGAATACTAGGTTCTTGCAGGGTTACATTAGGCAGAAGCGTGCTAAGTCGTACATCCATAGTATCGAGGCTGATGGGTCATCCATGACCCAGGAGGCTCAGATTTGGGAGCGGCTGTTGCTCACTTCCAGACCCTCTCCACCTCTGACAGAGGGTCCCTTGTGGCCCCGACAACTTCTCTTTTCCCCACCATCCCTCCTTCGGTCGATCTCATTGGCCTCTGTGAGCTCCCGAGTAGGGAGGAGGTTAGGGATGCTGTATTTGGGATTGATCCCAACAGTGTTTCTGGCCCGGATGGTTTCTTCTCTCTCTTCTATCAGGTCTGCTGGGATCTAGTCGAGACTGACGTCGAGGAGGCGATGTTGGATTTTTTCTCTGGCCACCGGATGCCGGATTCCTTCACGTCTACCTCTGTCCTCTTGATCCCCAAAAGACCCAATCCGAGCTCTTGGTCCGATTACAGGCCCATCAGCCTGTGTAACGTGACCAACAAGCTCATTTCGAAGATCCTTAACGGCCGTCTTTCCCCTCTTCTCCCCTCTCTCATCTCTCCGAACCAGAGTGGATTCGTTAAGGATCGGGTCATTAGTGATAACATCCTTCTGGCCCAGGAGATGATCCACGACATCTCCCGTGCGGACTGGAAGCGGGCTCCGAATATCGCGCTGAAGCTAGATATGGCTAAGGCGTATGATAGGGTAGAGTGGCCGTTTCTTAGGGAGACCCTGGCTAGGATGGGATTCCCTGACCGTTGGATTATTTTTGTCGAGGCGTGCGTGGAGCACTGCACGTTCTCGGTCCTGGTCAATGGCAGCCCCACCGATTTCTTTCCCTCATCTAGAGGCCTTAGACAGGGCGACCCCCTGTCCCCCTCCCTTTTCGTCCTTGCGGCGGACTACCTCTCTCGCTGCCTTGACGGTTTCATCCACGACTTTCCTCATATGACGTATAGCACCCGTGGCTATGGTCCTATCATCTCTCATCTCTCTTACGCGGATGACATCATCATCTTCACCCGGGCGGATGATGTTGGACTGGTCGAGCTCATGCGCCTTCTGGAGCACTATGGCTCGGTTACCGGTCAGCTGGTCAGTGTGCAGAAGAGCACATTCACTCTCTCCTCTTCCAGCGTGGCCAGGTGGGATCAGCGGGTCCACGACATTACTGCCTTTGCGCGTGGCAACCTTCCGATTACCTACCTTGGCGTCCCTTTATATAAGGGCAACCTCACGAGAGCGCTCTTTGCGGGCGTCAGGCAGAGGATGATCAACAGGATCTCTGGCTGGTCGTATAGACATCTTTCTTTCGGTGGTCGGCTTGCGCTGATCAAGAGCACTCTTAGCTCTCTTCCGATTCACTAGCTTATGGTCCTCGACCCCCCTAGGTCTACTCTTGACGAGATAGACCAGATTATGGCTCGTTATTTTTGGGGTTACGAGGACGGTTCTGGGAGGGGGAGACGTACCCACTGGGTGAGTTGGGACTCCATCTGTTGCCCCCTCCCCGAGGGTGGTCTTGGCATCCGCCGCCTTAGGGACATTGTTACAGCTTTCTCATACAAGCTGTGGTGGCGCTTCAGGGAAGGAAAGTCGCTTTTGGCTTAGTACCTTCGCGGCAAGTACTGCCCTAGACGTGTCAACCACCCTTGTTGGGTGACGGCTGTTGATCATGATAGTAGGCAGTGGCGGCGCCTCACTAGGGTTGGTAGGCGTGCCCAGGATCACATCTTCTGAGTTCTGGGCGAGGGCGATGTTAGTTTCTGGGATGAGTGGTGGGTAGGTGATAGGCCGTTGTCTAGAGATAGGCAGGTGTCGCTTTCCCCCTACCTGCTTGTGAGCGACCTCTGGACGGACGGGTCGTGGGATAGGGGGATGCTTGAAAGGGAGTTGGGGTCTGGTGCGGGTTTTAGCGGGCATTTATTAGATCAGATCCAGGGGATGGTTCAGATAGCATGACGTAGAGACTTACATCGTCGGGTGTGTTTTCTACTACCTCGGCTTGGGAGCAGATCAGGCTGAGGGATCGGCCTAATCTCCTCTTCGGGGCCATCTGGAGTGACCTTTTCACCCCTACTATTTCGGTGTTCCTTTGGCGCCTCCTCTTGCGCCGGATACCCGTCGATACTGTGCTACACGCGAGAGGGATCTCCTTCCCCTCTCGGTGTGTGTGTTGTTCTGAGACTTGACGCCATGAGACCGAGACCTTTACCCACCTTTTTCTAGAGAGTGAGATTGTGAGGAGACTGTGGAAGCATTTTGCCACTTGGACTCATATATCCCTACCTACCACATACAGTTTTTTTTAGCTCCTGAGTTTTTTCTCACAGAGTACACACCTTAGACACGTGGGCTTTCTCATTCCTTGTCTGATCCTTTAGTTCACCTGGACAGAGAGGAATAGTGCGAAGCATAGGGATATTATTTTTATGTTTTCTCACATTGTTTTACAGGTAGAGAGACACATTTCACTCCTCATCGCATTGGGCAGGCTCACGGCCCGAGACTGGACAGACTGCACGCCACCACATCGCTTCATGGTGGCCCCACCACCTGTTCGGCACCCTCAGCCCAGAGCTGTTGTTTGGCTTCGACATTACTCTCCGTGGGTCAAACTGAACACTGATGGCTCCTTTGATCGCCAAACTGGAGTTGCTGGAGGAGGAGGCTTGATCTGGGATCATAGCTGCGCCCTCATCACTGCCTTCCACGCGTCCCTTCAGGCCTCCTCGAGCTATGATGCAGAGATTCAGGCATTACAGATAGGCCTTCAGATTGCTGTCCACATCTCTAGCCACATTTGGATCGAGCTAGACGCTGCGGCTGTAGCCACCCTTTTGACCTCGGGCCACCAGGGCTCGTGGCGGATTCAGCACCCGCTTATGCGTATTAGAGCTCTACTCCGGTCTGTCCATCACAGGATCACGCACATTTTTCGTGAGGGGAATAGACCTGCCGACTATCTGGCCAGCCTTGGCGCCACCACACCAGACACACATACATTTCAGACCGACACTGCTCCACTCCGCCTTCACACTCTTGTACGGATGGACCAGCTTGGATATCCAGCGTTCCGCTTTCAGTAGGTTAAGATTTGTGCTTTCATTAGTATAGACATTTATTTCGGGCATCTGTTAGCCCGAAGATCGACTTTGTATTGTAGTTTTGTTTCTTTTTCGTTTTTCGGCTTTTCTTTTTTGTTTTTCTTTTGTTTTTGATTTTGATTAGTGAGACTCTGTAGACTTTTGTATCTTGCTCGTTGATATTTTGGGGCCCTGATCTATGCACAGGTTGGGGATCCAACCCAATCCCCCGCCCTTCCGGGGCGTTGTTTGTTTAAAAAAAAAAACCTAGCAGCAAGAAAAAAATAACCTAGCAACTTAAGACAACTAACCTAACAACAAAACTCAACTAACCTAGCAGCTACAAATAACTAACCTAGCAACAGCTATAAATCTTAGTCATCGGATCGGACGATCCAACAGCTATAAAATATCTTATATTTTAAACACATTAAGGGTAATGTAGTATTTTTTCTACTCAATTAATCTATGGGCCCCACCTGATAATAACTAACCTAATTAAATTCAACCCATCACCTATCCCACCCACCGACCCACTTTATTTCACGCAACCCACACGGATCTATTTTTCACGAACAAAACACACACACTACACACACAAACACGCATGCAGTGGCCTTCCCGTCGGACCATCTTCTGCTCCGCCACCAACGCTGCCGTCAGAATCTCTTTCCCGCCGGCTTTTGCCTTCTTCGGCGCCGCCGTTCAGAAAGGTTCCTGTCTCGGAGGCCGACATCTCCTTTCGTCGTCCATGTCCGCCGATCTAGCCCCGCCGTCATCCATGTCCGCCGCTTTAGTATCAATATGAAGTGGCGGTCGCGGCCGACTGGAGTCCAAAGCTTGCCGGCGAGCCCGACTGGAACAGACGCACCACGCCCTGCATTTGGCGACCGGCGATGGTCGCGATTGACCAGATTCCAGAGCCCCTCAAGGCGGCGGCGGAGAGCCACTCACAGCATCGTCTCACCCAATCTCGTCGGCGATCCCGACATGAGCGGCCGGCCATGGCAATCTCCTGCAATAGAAGACAAGCTGCAAAAAAAAAATAAATAAATAAAAAATAGGGATTGATTATATTTTGAGAATTTGATAATGTGTAGGGGCTTATTAGCAATTTTAAAAAATTTGACTATGTGTAGGGGTCTAAATCTAAAATTTTATAAAGTTAATAAAAAATATTATTTTTATGTATTTATATCTGCCTAATATGATCAGTGCAATCCGGTTCAGGAAAGCAAGCGAGCTTGTGAGGGCTACCCACTGTGTCATCTTCAAAAAAACTGGAAAAGAATTCAGGAATTCATTTTCTGTCAGACGGCAAAGGATTTTGGGGGTTGCTNTTTTTTTTGTGAATTAGATAATGTTAAAGGGCCTATTTACAATCTCTTAAATTTCGGTTTCTTAAAATAATATAACAATAAATCATGATAATAAATAAATTATAAAATAAAATTTTAATTTTTTAGGTTAATTTGATGTACAATTATATATATTGAAACTAGTTTTCGAATACACATAATTTATATGAGAAGGTATAAATTCACGCACTTTATTGAACAGAATGTTTCACTTCATATAACAACACATTGCAACTTATAAAACACACGTTGCACTTTATCACCACAATCCACAATTATTGTTAACAGTTGCCACCAAAATATTACTCGATACAAACTTATAAAACATATCTACATAATATTTTAATATCAATCACATCAAAAAACACAGGTATGCTAACGTATCAAAATTTCATTATTGCACCGTATAAATCAATATGTTGCACTTTATATAACAATACATTGCACATTACAAAACAACACGCTGCACTTTATCACCACTACCATATTGTACAAAAGAGATCGAAACCGACCGGATGCATTTTTTTTCAACAACTAATAATATAAAAATAATTAATAAAATTATTAACATATTAAATATAATATAATTTTAATATAAATAAAAAATTATTTCAATAATTTAGAATAATTTGATTAACCGAACTGAATAAACAAATTATATTATTTTTGTATTATGTACATAATCAATTTAATTTGGGACAAAAAGTTCGATTGATTCAATCTGCACAATACGGGCCGTCATCGTACACCATAATGTTAGACGGATTGCACTTTAATTAATGTTAGATAGCACTTTATATTTCGTTTACATAATATATTATTTTTTTAATCAAATTAGATGTAATATGAAATATTAAATATTAAACATGATTTTATAATAAGTAATATAATTTATTGCACTTTCGTAAAAATATGACTTTTTTTTTAATGTGTAAGTTCTCACATAATAACGTGCAATTGATGTAACTTTATTGCGCATTAATTAAACTTTTATTATATTACAAATTTGCCTCAAGTGCTAAATTGAAATAAAAAAAAACTTAAAGAAATTACAATTAAGCCCTTAGAACCTATCAAATTTCCAAATAAAAACCCCCCACAACTCCCAAACACAATTTCTGCAGGCCACCCACGTCACCTCCGCCGGAGCTCACCCTCGATGGTCCAGTCGTCGTCGATAGGGTCACCCGCCGTCGTCTTCATCGCCACAGTCCGCCGACAGGACCTCGACGACTTCAGCTGCGCAATTAAAAAAAAAAAAGAAAAATCTATCATTTTCTCCTCACATAGTTTCGCCGCCTTCGCGCAGGGTAGGGGAAGGATGGTGGTGGCGACGCGACTGCGCGGTGGTGGCGATGGCGGATTCGACGACGGAGTATCGATTTTCGGTTGCCGGTGAAATTTGGGGTTTAATTCATCGGCTACAAAATTTGAGCGATTTCTGATTTGCGCGGGGCAACCACAAGCGGAGAAGACGAGGCGGTGTTCCGGCAGGGTCCAGCGACGGGATCGACGTTATAGTGTAAGTTCGGCAGCAACGGGAATGCTAATGAAGAAGTCCGATTGCGGCGGCGGAAAGTCTGATGAGGAAGTCTGTCGGTGATGGGAAGGCTGTTGAGGATGTCCGGCGGTGACGGGAGATCTGACGAGAACAACCGGCGGCCGGGGGTGTTACTGTGTGTGTGAATGGGTTCAGTGCATGTGTGTGTTGGCGTGTTTTGTGTGCGTGAGAGAGACAGAAAGAGATGGGAAAGAGTGTGATGAGAGAGAAAAATGTGGTTTATTGGTAATTGGTGTTTGGTCCCACATAATATAATATATGTGTATTGACCAACTTACCTTAATTATTGGTCAAATATACATATTTGAACACATTATGATTAAATATTTACCAGATTGCCATTAATGATTGATTAAAGTTTGACTTCATCATCACCATTGATATAGTTGATCCCATGGTCCAAGTTCATTCTCATTTCTCGCATTAAGAGTCATTCTCATATGATCCTTTCTCTCTCTCTCTCTCTCTCTCCATATATATATATATATATATATATATATATATATATATATATATAGGATGTGGTTCAAATGAGAACCAATTTCTAGCGTGAGAACCGTGAGAACCGCTATTTTTATTAGTATGAAGTGCTATGATTAAATGTGTTTTAGAGCTATTTTTAACCAGAATTTATTTTATTAAAAATAGCAACACAATTTATATTAACATTTGTGAAAATGATAGCATCGTGTAATATTAAAAATAGCATCATCCACAATTAAAAATAACATCAAATATGGTTCTCACACCAGACTTGATTTTTATTTGAACCAGCCCCTATATATATATATATATATATTGAATTTTATATACTAAAGAAATCTGTGTCGTCTTTGATTTTATTAATTAATGATATCCTTATTATTTCTTAATATAATGATCATAATTGTTGTCATCTTTAATGTAGTTTTCTAATGTCTTCCTTTTGCCTCATACTCTTTGAGAAATGGCTCGAATTGCTATATTTTTTCTCAATATAATGACATAAGGAATAAATAAATATTTGAAGATATCTTTAAAGTTATAATGTTTCAAAAAGAAAATTTACTTGAAAAATATGTTAGGTACAGTAACATCTATCTATATATATTGTCATTGATTTAAGGTACACACATACATACTCACACACACACACACACACATATATATATATAGAGAGAGAGAGAGAAGTGTGTTCAAATGAGAATGAAGCACAATGAAAGAAATGACAATTAATGTGGACCACTTGATCTCCTATTCCAACGGTCAAGATGTAGTCAGCTCCCTTTCAATTACTGGTGGCATACTCGTAATTAAAGATGAGGATGTGGTCAATTGTATAAGTATGAGGGTAGTTTTGTACTTTCCTAAAAAGCATCTTCTCCCACATCTCAATCCATCACCTTCCCCACCCCTACCCGTCACTCTCTCTCTCACACACACACACACACACAGCCACCTGCTCAGCCGCCAGTAGCCACATGCTCCGTCGCCGGCAAGTCCTGTCGCCGCTACAAGCTTGGTCGATCACGTTGACATCGCCACCATAGCCCGCCACCGTCACGAACCGAGCCACCATCCAGGGGCGGAGCCACCCATGGGCTAGGGTGGGCTCCAGCCTCATGTCAAAAAAAAAAAAAAGAAAAAAAAATCTACTAGGTTTACCTTTCAAAAATTTATATATCTTGACCTATCTAATTTTTTACTTAGCCCCATCTAATTTCAGGTGGTGTGAACTCAAATGAAGTTCATAGACAAAAAGGAACAAATTNTTTTTTTTTTTTTATTTTTGTATACTAATATATAAAATATGAAATGATTTTTTTTTTTTGGCAAAACAGGAGATTTCGAACAATTGACAAGTATATGAGCAATCATCACACTTCATGCTTACATCATTTATCTGTATTATGTCTTTTATTTCTTGATTTTTAATATATTGCTTTTATAATACTTAATTGCTATCCCATGATGTTTAATCAATTTATTAATGGGAAATTTTTATTTATGCTATGTGATTTTAAATTAATTGCAATTTTACCATAGAAGTTGAAATAATTATGTTTATACCTAAAAGACCTTATTTATCTATATTAATGCCTAAAGTCAGTTACCATATCCTTCCCACCTCCATCCCCCTTTTTATGGGCATAATTAAGGGAGAGAAAATAACTGACTCGTTTAATTCCTTAATTCGCGCAACTTGAATTCCTTAATTCACGCAGCTGTCAAGTGGTATATATTGGGTTTATGTTAGTATATTTTCAGTATATGTTGCAATGAAAAACATGTTTTCTATCAAAAAATTATGTCTTCCTATTTTTTCGAAAAGAAAGAAACACACGCCGCCGAGCAGAATTTTTTCGAAAATCAGTCGACCGACGGTCTTCATTCAGAATTTTTACGTGATCTCGACTGTATATCTTAGGTATATTTTATGTATATGTGGGTTCTAAAATCGATTTTGAGAAACGATTGAAACTCGAGTGTATATTTAAAGTATATTTTATGTATATGTGGTGTAGCGGATTTGAATTACGTGAATCTCGAGTGTGTATTTTATGCATATTTTATGTATATTCTATGTATATTTTATGTATATGTGTGTTGTACAACTTTGGTATATACCCGCAACGTGTAAATTTTCATATCTGATGGTAACATGTAAATCATGTACAGAAGTTTCATACCCGAAACATACATATTGTCATACCAAAACATATACTGAAAATATAGTATATATACCCACAACATATACCCGCAATATGTACAGAATAGAACTATCTATCAACAAATCAAGCACACCAAGTGTTCGACAATTACCCTCTGAGAAGATTTTCGTCAAAACAGATAGGAAAAATTATATATTTAACATATACTGTACATATACCCATCATATACTGTACATATAACTCAATACAACACAACCGTAACCAGGTAAATTCGTCTAAAATTAATAGCAAACTACGTGGAGATATGGCTTGATTTCATGATCCCCAAGCCATTTCTGAATTTTACATTGGACTCGCCATCAACATAAATAACACATCGTCCCTGTAAGTGAGCAGCGACCTGCCATTCCTTGGGTTCAACCGGATCGGCACGCCCCGACCCGATTCGGGTGTGAACGCATAGATCGATTTAAATCCATACTGGAGATCTCGCGCACCTCGAGTTGGTCCTGGTCCCACCCGGCCAGGCCCGTTTTGATGACGTCGATCGGGCCCTTCCTTTGCTTGTACACGTGCACCTCAGCCTTCGGGACTTCGTGGTAACGGTTTGGGTCCTCGGATGAATCGAGTCGGACTCGGAGGTCTTTTGCAACAACGGCACCGCCGCCTCTTCCTCAATTTCTCTGACCCGATTGTTGTTCGCCATCTCTGTAATAATCTAATTGGGTTACGACTCTGGTTCGTTTGTTGTTATTTGGGAAATTTTTTCGAGTAGGATGTGTGGTTTTGGCAGCAATGTTTTTCGAGTAGGATGTGGGATTTTGGTCTTCACCATTGAAAACATAATGTTGGGGAAAATGTTTGAAGAGATGGAGAACGTGGGGTTTTGGAGTTTTTCTTGCAGATAATGGGTGGTAGGGGGTGAAGATTAGGGGCGGTTTTTTTGGTAAAGATATATCAAATTCTAATCACAATTAAATTGTCCATACATTCCTTAACATCGGTTGAATTTTTTGTAACTGAAAATCTGGTATATTTGTAATATTTTGGGGTTGAATTAGTTATTTTATAAATAACATTAAAGTGGGTGTAAAAATGTTATATAAATATAATATGATAGTATGTGGTGCAAATTCCTCTTTATTATTTCTTGGGATAGGACATTGAGTTAATATTTGGCCCACTAAATCAAATAAAATGGGCTGCCATGTAATTATCTTATGGGCCTCTTACAACACATTGAAATACACATTTTTTTACCGATTCTATTCGTTTCCACCTCCATTAATTATTTCGATCTCATTTTCTATTAAAACAAAAATAAAATACCTCGTCATCGCTTAATAAAATTAACTACAAAAAAACAAAAAATATATTTCAAGACGAAACGGAAACTAAAATCACTGTAAAATGCATGTAAAAATGACGCGAATCATTTAGTAAGCCTTACAACATAGACAGAAACCCGAAACTCTTACCGTGTTGATCGTTGACACTCTCGGCTCGACTTGTTTGATAGACAAACTCAATTAGTTGTTTGATCTGAGCTCATGCTAATATACAAGCTAGTCGAGCTTGAGGTTTTACATGTCAAACAAAAGTATGTAACGGGACAACTTAATTCAAATAACATCAGTAATTTTGCAGTCCTGGGTGAAAAAAAAAATTCTGTCTATGCCCCTGCCACCATCAACAACCTGCTTCGCCGCCGTCACGACTCACGAGCCGAGCCACCATCAACAACATGTTATGCCGCCGAACACAATCGAACAGCCACAACCCGTCGTCTGCAGCCGCCGACTGTAGCCTGAGACAGTCGCCATCCACATTTCCTTCCCTCCATTGCAGCTCCGCCGCCCGATGCTAAGATTCCGGCGAGATGCCACCGCGACAACCACTCCGACACTTACCTGAAAATATCCACCAATTCCTCGCCTTGGTCAACGGCCGCCAGTCGCCGGTCCCGCACAGACGGCTCAACTCGGCGTCGGCCAGAGATTTTTGTCACTTGAATCGGAGTCTCTGGTCTCGAGATTCTCTTGTTGGCCGGCGGCAATATGGTGAAGGTGTGGCTGTGAAGAAGTGGCGGGAATGCAGATTGGATTTAGGGGCATGTTAACAAAAATTAGATAAACCGTATGGACCATTCTGCAAATTTTAAGAACTTTTGTTATTGTATAAATAAAGTCATTTGCTAAGTATATAAATTATAAAAAGATAATAATAAATACAGAATAAAATCAATTAAAATGCACAATATGTGCATGGAAAAAAAATATTAATGTGAAAAATATATATTGCAAAATAATAACGTTATTGTGCACTGATTCAGTCGCTAATGTGCAGTCTGCCCCGATCGGGAGTTTGTCAAACCAAAATGAAACTAAACAA